GCATCACCTAATTTTAATGTCCATTAACGATGTACATTATTTAAAGATAATAAACATCATATTAAATTTATAATATTATTGAATTTATTTTATTAAATACACTATAACAATAATATTAGCTAAATTTTTCTATTATTAAAAGTAACAACTGTTAAAGAAAATGAAAAAAAAGACAGTAGGTTTCGCAACGAAACTTACAATCTTTATATTAATTAACTAAATACTCCAGGACCTACAAAAAAAAGTTTGAAGTTATTCTTCGAAACTTATCCAAGAAGTACAACCTAACAATAAAAAGATAAAAAAAGTATTAATAAAAAATTAATTTAAAAAAAAATTTTAAAAAAAGTTTTGAAGTAAAACTTCGAAACTTACCAATCCATTCCGTTAAGATTTGTATATACTTACAAATCTTGATCTTCTTGTTTCATTTTTCAGAAATTCACCCGAAACCTAAAAAACCGTTCCATAATATTTAAAAAAAATAATAAACAAACCAAGATTCGTACTCACGAATCTTGGTTTCACTAAAAAATAAAACAAAAAGAACGGTTAGAACCATTCATAGTATTAAAAAAAAATAAATCTAAGGTTCATAATATAATACTTACGAACCTTAGTTCTCCTTTTTCCGATCTTCGGAAATCCACTCGATCCTCTAAAAAAAAAAAGAAAGAACGGTTAATAAACCGTTCGTAATATTAAAAAAAATCTAAAGTTCGTAGTAAAATACTTACAACCCTCAGTTTATTATTTTCCGTTCTTTGGAAGACCACCTGATCCTATAAAAAATAAAAGAAAAGAACAGTTAGTAACTGTTCGTAATATTAAAAAAAATAAAAAAAACTCCCAAAAGATTTGTATTAGTACTTACGAATCTTTAGGTTTTTCCATTCTTCAAAAGCTCTCCCGAGACACTGAACCTATAAAAATAAAGAAAGAAACGGTTAGTAAACCATTCCATAATAATAAAAAAAATAAATAAAAACCAAGATTCTTACGAATCTTGGTTCTCCGTTCGTCAGAAGTCCACCGAACCTATAAAAGAAAGAAAGGAACAATAGTAAATCATTCTATAAAATAAAAAAAAAAATACCAAGATTCTTACGAATCTTGGTTCTCCGTTCGTCAGAAGCCCACCAAACCTATAAAAAAAAGAAAGGAATGGTTAGTAAACCGTTCTATAAAATAAAATAAAAAATACTAAGATTCTTACGAATCTTGGTTTCCGTTCGTCAGAAGCTTACCGAACCTATAAAAAAAAAGAAAGGAACGGTTAGTAAAAACCGTTCCATAAAATAAACAATAAAAAAAAAGATTCGTACTTACCATTACGAATCTTTGGTCTTCCGTTCTTTGGAACTCAGAAGCCCACCCGAACTTAAACAAAAAAAAAGAATGGTTATTAGTAACCGTTCGTAATAATAAAAAATAAAAATAAAAAACCAAGATTCATACATACTTACGAATTTTGGTTTCTCTTTTTCCGAAGATCGGAAGTCCACCCGAAATCTAAAAAGAAAAGAACAGTTATTAGTAACCATTCTAAAATAATAAAAAAAAACAAATAAAACCAAGATTCTTACGAATCTTGGTTCAAGTCCCCTTCCTCCAATCCCCCTTCCCAGTTTTTTACCTCAAAGTCCAGTTTCGTATTCAAGCCAGCGTCTTCGTTTTACAAAAAAAAAAATAATGAAAGAAACGTTAGTTCATTTCTTAAATTAAAAACAACAAAAATCTCTCTCCTTTTCCCATTTCTCACTACCTAAAGTCTGGTTTCATAGTATTCAAGCCAGCGTTTTCATAGTGCGTATCTTACAAAAAAAGAATAACAAAAAGAAACGTTAGTGGATTTCTTAAAATAAAATAACAAAAATCCTCCTTTCCCATTTCTCGCTACCTTAAAATTCGGTATCGTAGTATTCAAGCCAGTGTCTTCCTAGTACGCGTCTTACAAAAAAATAACAATAAGAAATGTTAAGTTGTTTCTTAAATTAAAAAAAAATAAAATTAAAAAAAAATAAATTAAAAAAAAATATGTAAGTTTCGAAATGAAACTTACATTACTTCCAAGAAAAAAAGGCGTAAGAAAAGGGGAAGGGAAGAACGAAAGAGAAGGAAGGAACAAAGGGAAAGGAAAAGAAGGGAAGGGGAAAAGAAAGGACGATAGGGGAAGGATGAAAGAGAATGAAAGTTTAAAAAAAGATGATGATCCTTTTTAAACTTTTAATATGCGTAACGCATGATGTTTTAATTAGTACACTATTTGATCAATGTCTAATCGTAGATCATGGTCTATCTTGACTGGTACGCTAATATAAAAAATCATTTCATATAAATTTGATAAATATTGAATTATCATTATTTAATGCTGCACATTATGATAAAAATCTCATTGATAATGCTCATTAATGTTAAATATTACATGTTCATTTAAAATAATGAATATTATAATATACATGATCTACAAAAATGTACATGTAATAAACATTTTTCCCATAACTTCCTGATATGTATGTTTAGCATTTATAGCATTTATAGCATGTATGTATATGCTGCTTTTGTATGTGATTTATGTTACGCAATTTTACAATAAAAAATGCCACAGTTAAAAGTCACATGTAAATATTATAAATATCAGTGTCACGTGATCTAGGTTCTAACACCCCGTGTACAAATAGAAATCGCCTTTTATCAAACTTATAAAATTTTATATTAATAATATAATTGATGATTCCTGAACATCTACATATATTAAAATGAATTATTTTAAATTTATTTTAAAAATAAAAGTTGGCATTATCTTATGGAGCAAAGATCATTCAAATTGAATTACTACATGTAAAGTAATTAATAATCAAATTTAGATAAAATTTAATAAATATACTGAACGTAATTATAAATTGATTAGATAGATCTCTATTTTCTTTTTTTTTTTTTTGCTGCAGCACAGGACCCCTGAATATACTATTAAGAACCCTGTCGTACACTTTTGGAGAAGTTTAGGCAGGCAATCTTAACTCAATTAGTAGTAAAAAGACTTTGTTGTACACCTATTTTATAATATAGAAAGTTTTGGTGTACACTTTTAACTAAATTGCATATGGGCTGATTTGTCTACCTTTAATTAAAATATTAATTTTATTACATTTTTATTATACAAAATACTATATAATATACAGTAAATTAAAAATAAATATTAAAAAATTTTTATTTAATGTTATTATACTATAATTTGGTAAATATTTCTTTTAAATTAATATAATTCTTAGCACTTACTATATATGTTAAAAATTTGTATCTCAACTTAAAACGTAAATATCTCC